TATAAATAGGATGCTAGTTTCTCAATCTTGGCATAAGGAAAAATAGGAAGATAAAATCCTAATTTCAAGGGAGAGAGGTTATTTTGTTATTCTTGTATACTTGTAATCTTGTTCTAAGAGAAAGGAAATAATAGCAGTTTAATAACCAATCCTTGTTGTTCCTTGTTATTTTACCTTGTCTTCTTTGTTAACCCTAACCCTTGTGTGTTTCTTGATCACTAAGAATCCGTTTATACTTTGTTTAAAGGTATCCGATTCACAACAAATTGGTGCGGTGAGCATGGAGAAGATGCCTTCAACAAAGTATGAGATTGAAAAGTTCACCAGAGTGAACGACTTCGGTCTGTGGCGCTTGAAGATGAAAGCCCTATTGGTTCAGCAGGGTTGTTTGGAAGCGTTGAAGGGTGAGACAGCCATGGACGTTGCGTTAACGGCAAAAGAAAAGACGGGCATGATCGAGAAAGCCCACAGCGCAATATTGTTGAGCCTTGGTGATAAGGTTCTTTGACAGGTATCAAAGGAGACTACAGCATCGGGATTATGGGTGAAACTTGAAAGTTTGTACATGACCAAATCTCTGGTGAATCGACTCTACCTGAAGCAAGCTTTATATTCATTCAAGATGAGTGAAGACAAAGTGTTGGCTGAGCAGTTGGATATGTTCAACAAGCTGATTCTTGATCTTGAAAATATTGATGTGAAGATCGATGATGAAGATCAAGCATTGTTGCTATTGTGTGCTTTGCCCAGAACACATGCTCACTTCAAAGAAACTCTCTTGTATGGAAGGGAGTCCCTGACCTTTGAAGAAGTTCAATCAGCCTTGTATTCTAAGGACTTGAACGAACGAAAGGAGCATAAACCTTCGACGGTGGACGAAGGTTTGGCCGTTAAGGGAAAATTCTTGCGAAAGGATGGTAAGTTCGACAAGAAGAAAGGTAAAAGTCAACAGAAGTCTTATAGTGGCAAAACATCTAGTATTCGATGTTATCACTGTAAGAAGGAGGGTCACATAAGAAAGGTGTGCCCTGAACACCTGAAAGATCATGGAGGTAATGGCAATGCAGCCATTGTTCAAGATGACTTCGACTCATCTGATGTTCTTGTGGTTTCAAGTGGCGACTTGAGGAAAGAGTGGATTATGGATTCAGGTTGCACTTGGCACATGACTCCAAACAGAGAATTGTTCGAGGAGCTATGTGATCAAGATGGTGGATCTGTGCTGCTAGGAAACAACAAATCTTGCAAAATTGCAGGTATTGGATCTGTGAGATTCAAGCTCCATGATGAGTCAATAAGGTTATTGACTGAAGTCAGGTACGTACCTGACTTGAAGAGAAATTTGATTTCTCTTGGTGAATTCGACAAAAAAGGATATGTTTTTCAATGAGAGAAAAGTATCCTAAGAGTCATGAAGGGGTCGAAGGAAGTCTTGAGAGGCATGAAGAAACAAGGCTTGTATACCCTTGAGGCTGAGGTTGTAAGTGGTTCAACAAATGTTGCATCCACGAAATCTATGTCGAAGACAGAATTATGGCACATGAGATTGGGCCATGTCAGCGAAAGAGGCCTGGTCGAATTGGGGAAGCAGAACCTGCTAGGAGGTGACAAAGTCGAAAAGTTGGAATTTTGTGAATCTTGTGTATTTGGTAAATCCTGTAGGGCGAAGTTTAACAAAGGCAAGCAAAGAACACATGGATCCCTGGATTACATTCATGCTGATCTTTGGGGGCCTGCAAGGAATCCTTCACACTCAGGTGCAAGGTATTTTCTATCCATCGTTGACGATTATTCCAGAAAGCTATGGGTATTCATTCAGAAGACGAAGGATGAAACTTTTGAGAATTTCAAAAGTTGGAAGATTCTAGTCGAAACTCAGATTGGCAGAAAGGTTAAGAGGTTGAGAACCGACAATGGCCTTGAATTCTGCAACGAAGCTTTCGACAGTTACTGTGTTGAGTCTGGGATTGCAAGGCATAAGACTATAGCAGGTACTCCTCAATAAAATGGCTTAGCTGAGAGATTCAATCGAACAATCCTTGAAAGGGTTAGATGCATGTTGGTTAGTGTTGGATTGAAGAAGGTGTTTTGGGCGGAAGCTATTTTGACAGCAGCTTACCTGATAAATAGATGTCCCTCGACTGCCTTGGGAATGAAGACACCTGAAGAAGTTTGGTCGGGACATCCACCTAGTCTCGACAAACTGAGAGTATTTGGCTGTGTGGCCTATGCTCATATTAGCCAAGACAAGGTCGAACCTAGAGCTCTAAAATGCATGTTTATGGGATACCCTGAAGGAGTCAAAGCTTATAGGCTATGGTGCCTAGAGCCAGGTCACAGGAGGTGTATCACCAGTCGAGATGTAGTTTTCAATGAAGCAGAGATGACTTTCAAGAAAACTAATGATGCTGACGAAGAGCTGGAACAGGAAGAAATTCCTGTTGAGGTGGAGCATGTTGATGCGGAATTGCGTACCCCAGATGAAGTCGAAGAAGATGCAGAAGATGTTGTCGAAGATGAGGAGACTGATAATGACTACCTGCTAGCAAGAGACAGGTCGAGGAGAGTCATCAAGCCACCTCAGAGACTTGGGTATGCAGATCTTATAGCTTATGCCTTAATCTCTGCTAGTGAGGTTCTAGATGAAGAACCCAGAGACTATAAGGAAGTTATGAGGAATCGAAAGAAGACTGAATGTCTGAAGGCCATGGATGATGAGATGAAATCTCTTCGTGATAACAACACCTGGGAACTGATCAAGAAACCTGCTGGAGCCAGGTTAGTCAGTTGTAAATGGATTTTAAGGTACATAAATGGGTCTCTGAATAGAGTCCTAATTTATGGTGGAGCCTTGGGTGAAGATAGTAAAGCAGCAATCGAAGGATATGTCGACTCTGATTATGCAGGTTGTATGGATTCCAGAAAATCTATCTCTGGATATGTGCTCACTATGTTTGGGACAACAATCAGTTGGAAAGCAACACTTCAGAAGGTCGTTGCCTTATCAACCACTGAAGCGGAGTATATTGCCCTAACTGAAGTTGTGAAGGAAGCATTGTGGCTTGAAGGTTTTGCAAAGGAGCTAAAACTTCAAGGTCGAGTTATCACTGTTAAATGTGATAGTCAAAGTGCAATACACCTGTCGAAGAATTCAGCCTATCATGAGCGAACCAAGCACATTGATGTGAGGCTGCATTTCATCAAAGGGGTAATCGAGCGTGGAGAAGTCCAAGTGCCGAAGGTTTCGACAAATCATAATGCTGCTGATATGATCACCAAGACGTTGCCCAGTTGCAAGTTTTTCCACTATATGCAGTTAATAAAGCTGCATGAAGAAAGCTAGTTTCTTGATGTTATAGAGTTAGGCCCAAGGTGGAGATTTGTGAGATGTTGGATCGAACTCTAGTATGGTCGAAGTCTGTTCGCCAGTAATGCGTGTTGTAGTCGAAGTTTGTTCTAACATGCATTAGTCAATATTGCTAGGGTTGTTAGCATGTTGAATTGGGCCTTGCTTGTAAGCCCAATTGTTTAAGTTAGCTTGTACCCTAAGTTAGCTTGTAATGGGTAATTGTTAAAAAGCCCATTAGGTTAGTGTGCTATTTTATTATAAATAGGATTCTAGTTTCTCAATCTTGGCATAAGGAAAAATAGGAAGATAAAATCCTAATTTCAAGGGAGAGAGGTTATTTTGTTATTCTTGTATACTTGTAATCTTGTTCTAAGAGAAAGGAAATAATAGCAGTTTAATAACCAATCCTTGTTGTTCCTTGTTATTTTACCTTGTCTTCTTTGTTAACCCTAACCCTTGTGTGTTTCTTGATCATTAAGAAACCGTTTATACTTTGTTTAAAGGTATCCGATTCACAACAGAGATTTTAGACATATTTAATTATTTCGTTGTGGTTCATGTTATTGTTGAAGGAATAATTATACTATGTATGACTAACTATGTTGATGCTTCCGCTATTTCAATAAAATTTTGAAGTTCAAGACATGTGGAGTTGTATTAGTTATTATAACTAATTTTCAAATATTGCATGTGTTACATATTGTTATGTGTATGAGCAGTTCTGTGTGATGAATATTGTGTGACATTCTGAATATGTGTTTGAAATTACTTTGATTTTATTTATATTATGCGGGGTATATTTTGGATGTTACATGAGTTGCCACGATATAGATTTGACAGTGTAGAATACGTTTTCCAATGAGGTGGCGTGAGAAGATTAACATAATATCTATCCATTTTCATCACGCATTCCTTCCTCATGTATTGGGCTTTGCGCTCTATTAGGTCCATCTAGTCAAATATATATATATATATATATATATATATATATATATATATATATATATATATATATATATATATATATATATATATATATATATATATATATATATATATATATATATATATATATATATTAAGATTAACATTTATTTTTTATTTTAATTTTAAATAAGTTTTAAGATTATAAAAGTAATAAATTAATTTAAAAGTTTGTTATATATACTACTATTATCTTCATAATAATATATTTTTGTTAACATTTTTTATTTTTATACCCTTGAAGGGTTAAGGCAGTTGTTTTTACTAAAGTTAAACCATTTTTAACAAAAGTTAAACCACTTATTAGCCTATAAAATCTGGTAATCTCATCTGACAAAAATTAATACACCAGCTGTAGCATTCATTTCAGTGGTAAGAAATGTTTATGAAAAATAAATCCTCTCTGTCCATACACCCTATCTAGAAAATTTATCATTAACAATATTCTCAATATTCTTTTCCACCCTGCACTAACCCTCTCTTCCTAACATCACCAACAACCAACACACCTTTACCAAAATAGTTACATAAAAAAAACTTAAAATCCAAAGTAAAAAAACATCAAACATAATATTATTATTAAACCATCAAATTTTGAAAGAGACAAAAAAAAAGAAAAGAGAGGGCCGCCACCTCCACTACCGCAACGGCCGTGGTCGCCACCACCATGGCTCGTTGTCAAGGGTCAACGTTATGTTTCACGTTTTTCCACATCGAAGAACCGTCACCGTTAGAGACCCTTGGTATCCTCTCTTTTGACGCCGTTAAAACAATGTGTCGCCTCATCTCCCTTTACAAATCATTAACCGACGTCGAAATCCACAAACTCCGTCGCCACGTCATCAAATCCAAAGGTGTTTCCCACCTTAATTCCCTCGACGAATGTTTTCTCCTAAACCTCGCTTGCGCCGAACGCCTCGAGGATCTCAACTTAGCCGCCGCCGCCGTTTCGCGTCTCGGCTCGCGCTGCTCCAACAAGACTCTCACCCATTTCGATGCGGTTTACGCCGACATAAAAAACGGAGCCGTGGATTTGAAGAAAGTCGAATTCGGCACGAAGAATGTGGAAAAGGTGATCGATAAAATGGAGAAACTTGTTTCTGCAACAAGGAATCTTCTCAATTCAATGGAATCTTTGTCGGAAATGGAGGTTTCGGAGAAGAAGATGCAAAGATGGAGAACAATGAGAGTTAATAATGGTCTTAAGGTGAAAGTTGAATGTTTCAATGACAGGATCATTTATCATAGAAGACAAGTTCAATATTATAAACAAATTTCGCTTTGGAATTTAACGTTTGATAAAGTTACTGGGTTAATGGCTCAGATTATTTGCATTGTTTATGCTAGAATCTCTTTTGTTTTTGGATCTTTGATAACGGGTTGCAACAGCAGCAGATTCTACAACAATAATAGTAACAATAACAATGGTGTTAATAAGGTTAAAGGTGTTTTTCGAATGAAGTTAGATAATCGTTGTTGTAGAATTGAACACATGGAATTGTATAAGATAAACCTTTGTATATATGATAAAGAGGAGGAAACATTGCAGAAAAAAACGAAGAAATATGTTGGTTGTGTTTTGAAGAGCAACAAACTGGGTGTGATTCATTTTCATAGTCATTCTCCGGTGGCGAAGGAGAGTTCTATCGGCGTTGGTAATGTAGCGGCGAAGAATAATATTGTTTACAGGTTAGCGCCGGCGTCAACTGTGGGTGGAGTAGGGCTTTCACAAAGGTATGCAAATGTGATTCTTTTCACGGAGAGGATTGTGCATGCTGCGGCTCCGATTGGAGAAGATGCGCGGAAGTTGTTGTATGAGATGTTGCCAGAGGGATTGCAGATGAAGTTGAGAGGGAAATTGAGGGCAAAGTGGTTGAAATGGGAGGAGGGTGTGGAGAGTTTGGTGGGAGAAGAGGAGGGGAAGTCGAAGGCGATGGAACGGTGGCGAGATGCGGCGGAGGAGGTGATGGAATGGTTGGCGCCGTTGGCGCATGATACATTGAAGTGGCAGGCGGAGAGGAATTTGGAGAAGCTAAAGTTTGAGACTAAACCAACAGTGTTGTTGTTGCAAACTTTGCATTATTCGAATTTGGAGAAAGTTGATGAAGCTATTGTGGATGTTTTGGTGGGGTTGAGTTGTATATATTGGTGCCAAAAAGAATGGTAGTGTATATGGTGAAGATTTTTTATACCACCATCATAAACTATTTTGTCTTTAAATGGTTGAATGATTTAATTGGATGATTTGGTTTTTATTTTTTAGGTTTTTCAATTTATAATTTGTTATGAAATATTGTTAGGAGAAAAAAATGCATAGTCTTCATATATCAAATTTAGGTTAGGTTTTATAATCAAAAGACTATTTGTTTCTCCATTGTTATTCATACACCATTTTCTTACACCAAATAGATATACTATTATACATTTTTTTACTGTATTTATATGGTAAACATTATTTTTTAAATTAAAAAATATATATTTAAAAAACAGTGTAAGATCACTGCATGAACAACATTTGTGAACAATTATTTTAAAGTAGTTAAATAAAATTGGTTAATAAAATGTAAAATATTAGTTAATAAAAGACAAAATAACCTTTTTCGTCCCTTAACTTTAGTTCGGGGTCCATGTTGGTCCCTTATCTTTACAAAGTGCCAACTTGGTCCTTTAACTTTTAAAATGGTGTCATTTTAGTCCTCGCCGTCAGTTGCCCCCAAACGTCCGTTAATTTTGTATATATGGCAGATGACATGGCAATCTTGTTCATGATGTGGCTTCCTTCTCCCTCCACCTTCCGTTTAAATCCCTAAAATAATTTCAAATCCTAAATCCCAAATCCCAATCCCAATCTCAAATCTGTAAACGTTAATCTAGGGTTTTTTTATTTGGCAAGCATGAAATCCGGATGTTCCTCTTTCATTTCAAAAACGAAAAGTCGGGATTCAGATGTTTGTAGTCGATCACGATGGAAGCCCATGTGCCATTGTGGAGACATGGCTGTTCTTCAAAGGGCAACTATTGTTAAGAATATGGGAAAAAATTTTTGGGGTTGTCCAAATTATAAGGTATGCAAACTGGTTTTGTTCTCTGTTGAAGTTATACTTTTGTTTAATTTTAAATTCATTATCCATCATCCTTTAAACAATGAAACTTACAGGGAGGTATGCAAGCTGGTTGTGGCTTCTTTGATTGGTTTTATGAGGAGATGGGTGATGAGAAGGAGCAATTTTGGATGCATAGGCTGAGTGTGGTAACTAAGGGACTTGCTGAAGCAAAAAAGGACATTGAAAAAGCGACAATGGAGAATGAAGAATTAGGAAAAAAGCTGATGAAACTTGAAATTGAAATGAAGAATATCATGAAGTGGACAAATATTTTGAATTTTATGTTTGTGATGATTATCATTGTATTAGTTGTTAGGGGTAGTTAGGTTATTACGGTTTGTTTGGAAGTATTATGTTATGTTAAAGTTTGTATCACTTCAACATGAATGTAATAGTTGGATTTTAATATATGGATTGTATTAGTTTAGTTAATTTCAGTTTTTGCAGTTCAACATGAATGAATATAACAGTTAAAGATAACGTTAACTTGGTTAAAGTGTTTTAATTTGGTCTGTCAAAGCATAATCCACATGAATATAACAGTTTTGGATTATATCATGTCAAAGTATTTTTTATGTTTGGTATATAACAGTTTTGGTCTGTCAATGATATATTTGGAGTATATTTGGTATATAACAGTTTTTTATGTTTGGTATATAACAATTTGGATTATATTTGGTATATAACAACAACATACATGAAGCAGCATACATATAACAGTTTGGATTATATTTCATAATACCTATAAACAACAACAGCAACATACATAAGTTGGTTCTGCTTTTAGGTTCATTTCATAATACCTATTTGGTATATAACAACCTATTTGGTATATAGCAGCATATTTGGTATATAACAGCCTATTTGGTATATAGCAGCATATTTGGTATATAACAGTAGGATACATATAAGTTGGTTCTGCTTTTAGGTTCATTACATAATACCTATAAACAACAACAACAACATACATAAACCTGTAATACTTTCCACAAAATATACTTGTTCCAAAAACAACATGTTCATGACAACAGTAGAATACAACAACTGTAGAACTTGTTCATGATAGCAGTAGAGTACAACATGTTCAAATTATAAACTTGTTCATGACAGCAGGAGAGTACAACATGTTCAAATTATAAACTTGTTCATGACAGCAATAGAGTACAACATGTTCCAAATTATAAACTTGTTCATGACAGCAGTAGAGTACAACATGTTCCAAATTATAAACTTGTTAATGACAACATCAGTAGTAAAATACATAAACTTGTTCTAAAACGACAGCAGTATAATACATAATCTTGTTCTAGGTAACTAAATTCACATGTTCCACAACTTATAGCTTCTTCTTTGGGGTCAACCCCGTTGTTGGAGTAGACCTCCTTGTTACTGGGCCTACCACATTCTTCGCAGCACTCAACCTAGTTGTAGGTCCAGGTGGCACAAAAGGTCTTGTTGGCTTCCTTACAAGAAACTTTTGTGTCTTTCCCTTAGCATCCTTTCCATTAGAAGTCTGAGATGCTTGGCAAGATTGTTGAAGTAGGAGTGTGGTGACTAGTTTGTTGAGCAGTCTGAGATGGAGTGTGTTGACTAGTTTGTTGAGCAGTCTGAGATGGAGTGTGATTGAGTTGGGCTGATTGTTGGCTAGGTTGTTGAGTTGTTGTGTCCTTACAAGTAGATTTGTAATGGCCTGCTTTCTTACACCTACTACACTTCACCAGAAAACCTGTTCTTCTCAATTTGTGATCAGACCCATCAATTTCACCTTTTTCTAGGTTCCTCTTCTTTTTAGGTCTACCTGGCATCTTCCTGAACTTGGGTAGTTGCACATCTAGGTATGGTGTCTTAACCCACAAGTTTGCTCCATTAATAGGGTAGATCACATGCTTATAAACTGCCTTGTACCTTGAAACCCTGTAATAATCTGGAATGTAAGTATCCAGCTTGAAATTCCTACTCTTCATAGCAGAATGAGCATGAACACATGGGAGCCCTGTGAGTTCCCATCTTCTGCATGAACATATCTGATCTTTCAGGTTCACAACAAACTTGTCAGCTTGATTTTCTATGTGCCTTACTTCAAATATATGTTCATCAAACATCCTAAATGATTAAACAAACAAAAGTACATTACTCACATGTATGTCATAAACAAACAAAATACATTACTCACATGCTGTGACATACCTTACTAGCCAGTTGTGGTGTATGTGCTTGTGACATCAAGTTTATTTCTAATATTGGGCAAAATATCATTCTCATCCAAAGTTCCAAATCTCAGTCTGTTATTTGCCCATCTCTCCATCATGTATGTTCTGATGTCTTCTAACATAGTTATTAGAGGTTTTGCCCTTGCTTCAAGAATGACACTATTAAAGGACTCAGACATGTTGTTGAGAACAACATCACATTTGTTTTCAGTCTTAAAGTAAGATCTACTCCAAAACCTTGGTGGGGTCTTCATCATATGTTTAAATGCTTCTTCATTGATGGCCCTCATTCCCTTCATCTCTTTTTCCCATGCCTGTGGGTATGTTGACTTGGCATCCTTCCATATTATGTCCTTCAACATCTTTCCAGGAAACTTTTTTCTAAAATTGTTATAAAGGTGCCTAACACAAAACCTGTGCTCGACCCTTGGCAATAACTCATCCATAGTAGGTAGCAGACCTTGCAATAACACACAATGTAGCATTACAATATAGCATAACAGAAATAGCATAACATAAACACATAAACACATAAAACCATATGAATAAATGAAAAACTTGCCTTTTGTTGGTCTGAGATGAAGGTGTAAGTCAGGCATTCATCTTTGCCTCCAAGGTCATCAATTAACAGCTCTAAAAACCAAGTCCAGCTATCCTTGTTTTCACTCTCCACAACTGCATATGCTATGGGAAGCATCTGATCATTAGGATCCCTCCCAATGGCATCCAGTATCTGCCCTCCACATAACCCCTTAAGAAAACATCCATCTAGACCTATTACATGCCTGCACAACTTAAAGCTTTCCTTACACACAGCAAAACATATGTAAAGCCTTCTAAAATATGGTCTTTCATCCTCAACACCTACTTGTTCAGGCTCAACATTGAGCTTAACTGTTGGCCCTGGATTGGCTCTTAACAGTTCATGACAGTAGTCACAAACCCTTGTGTAATCTCCCAAAAAGGAACCATCTACATAGTCTCTAGCTGCGAATCTTGCTCTTATAGCTTTGGTTTTGTTGACCCCGACATTCCACTTTTTTTGTGCCTTCTCCTTGATATCCTTTATACTCAATCTTGGATTATTTTTCAAGCTATTTTGAATTCTTTTATTCAACCACTTTGTACTCATCAACTTCACATTATACTCCTTACTGCAACTGTGTTTATCAATTACTTTTCTGAGTTGCCAAGTGTCTTCAGTTGACAACTTGCTACAATAAGCCTCCCACTCACAACCAACTTTACATCTAACCCTTACCCTAACTCTGTCATTTTTTACAAACATTAGGTCTCTACCATTTTGAACATCATATGTTGTTATTGCTTCCCTAAAATCATCCTTTGAACTAAAGTACATTCCCACATCCCACTTGTAATTTGACATGTCTTTTGGATGTCTGAAAATTTGATGTTTTTTTCTTACAACTCCACTGCTATCATCACTGTCACAACCACTTTGCATTTCCTCACTGTCATTGTCACTTCCTTTACCATCATTTTCTACACCTTCTCCATTAATATAATTTTCATGACCAACTAGGGCATCAAGTTCATCCTCCCTAATCTCATCACACCCATCAGACTCATCCTCAAAAGCAACATCTTCTGCGCTATCATAATTTTAGTCCTCATCTACACTATCATTAGATGATAGACTTAAGTCATCATACACTGCAACTTTTCCTTTTCCAACTCCAACATTACCTTGTTCCCCTGTAGCACTCCCTCTTTTAAATCCAACATTACCTTGTTCCCCTGTAGCACTCCCTTTTTCAACTCCAACAGTATAATCAGCCACTGCAGGATCATCATCAACTCTAACATCCCCTGCAACATTCTCTTCCTCCATG